ACATTTTAAAAATAATGAGGATCAAACAAGTGCTGAATAGCCCAACCCACTCTTTATGATTAAATGTATTCACAATATTTCAATTGTTAAAGAAAAAAATATAATAATTTAAAAGTGAATAAAAAAAAAAGGAAAAAACAATAAATATTTTTTGAGAGACTAAGGGCCAAATATAAAGAGCATGTTAGAATACTTAAAAAAGTTACGCTTTAAATTGTTTAATATACTCTCTAAAAATATATCTAGAAAATGCTTTTACAAGCTCACAGAGAATCTTGAAATTTACTCTTACCTGCTTCATTACTGTTTTAGATTAAATTATATAGAGTTAGGTTGGGTTTCTCGATTTAAACTGCCATCGCTAAGCACGAGTCCCCAAAGGAAAGTTCAGTTCGTAATAATGACATTTACTGTTACATAACTACATTCAACATAGTATTGTAAACCATAAGATGACTACAAACTACCAGAAATCTTAATACTTATCGACTAAAAAGAAAAGCTGACCAACCTATAAATCTTCTCTCTCCTCCAGGGAAGAAAAATGTGCATCAATTTGACAAAGGACTTCTTGATCGATGGTGGCCGAACTAACCCTCTTAGATGGAGAATCAATGGATTGCCTTTTGGGTGACAAATTGTTTTCAGGATTCTGTTCCTTGGACTTTTCGGGATCACTTTGTTCCATCTGATGTTTCTTAGAATGCCAATTGAACAACTGGGATGCCATCTCCCGACAAGCTTTCAGATCTTCGTCACTTTGGGCTTTGTTTAATTTATCAATAAGATCACTTAAAGCTAAAGCCCTCTCTGCCTGAGAAGACTTGATCTTTTTAGACATCCTCCCAGCTTCTTCGGGATCACTAATTTCACTAGCATCATCATTTTGCTCATACTTTCTAAGCTTCTTCAATCCTTGATCAACAATGTATTGGATCCTCTTTCTTAAGTTTTCAGTTCTTACTGGATTTGATCTGAGCTTCAACTTCAACCCCTGCACCATCTTCTCAAAGTTTTCTGCAGCAGACAAACTTGCTGACTGCTCATCATGTGGAGTATTTACAGAGAAAACCTCTTCCAATAAGTGTACATTTTCTAGGTAGCGGTCAAAAGATTCATGTTCTGCTTCAATGTTTCTGTCCTTGAATTCCTTCATCTTTAAGAACCTCCATTCGTTTATAACTTGTGCGTCCTGAAAAAAAAATCCAAATAAAGAAACCAATTTTTAACCCACATTAAAAAAATGGTAGTAAAAGTATGTATCTCTACCTTTCTTGTCAATGGCTTCCTAGATCGAAGTGGAGTTAGCAAATTGTTAAATTGCGCAAAGTTGCTAGAAAGTTGGCGAAGTCTGTGGGAGTTCCTGCAATATAAGGTAGCCAATATCAGACAATGGACCACCTGAACTTTGAAGAGGTTGCTTACCGAACTTGAAATGCAGTAACACGGAATTAAAAACAGAAGTCAAGCAGGCCCATAAAAGAAACAACAAGAAACAATTTCTTTTGATCCTTATAAGAGCAATAACAAGTATAGCAAATTTGAAAAGTCCGTTACATTGAACGCTATTGGGATTCAATGAGTAAAATTTTGAACGGGGGATTCAATGAGCAAATAAATGGCTAAAAGAGAAGCGGTAACTGCATAAGAAGTTTCTGGAGAACTGTAAAACGCAGAACATAAAGATATGGAAAGCACCAAGAAATGTACAGCATGAAGGCATTTTAGACGGATTTATATCTGGGATGGTTAGCGTTAACAACTTACCCTGAATGAGATGCTTCAGTTGATTGCTGGTCAAATATGGGAGAGCTGGAAGATGGTGACTTGTCCGGAAAAGATGAGTTACCTTTCAGAACTGCAGTAATCACAATTGTCAGTGATAATTTTAACGTTCTTGTCTTTGTTCATTTTACTGACGCACGTACAAATTGGAATTGTAAACAATGTTTCAAGATATTTTATACGTTTTAAACCCATATTATTATATAGATAGGAGTGCATATAACTTCCTGCTTAATTTTGGTCAGTTTCACAAGTCACCGATTGTATTCTTAAAATTTCACTTGTCATGGGAGTTCATTCAGGACAGATTACAAGGCACACACGATATCCAAAAACGGAGTTCCAGCTATATCAGCAGATCAACATCCCTTTACAGCAGAGAAAAGTATCTTACTCGAGAATTCTGCCATTTGCATTTTCCCAGATATCCCATCTTAGTATTTCCGTATCTATAAATTCTTCCCTTACCTGTATCTATACATAGGCTAGGAGAGTTCGGTAGCATACACATTTCTCCAACATGCAGATTATCCAGAAATTCTTATACCTTAACCAACATCTAGGGTCAATTTGGCATACCGTGTATATGACATGGATTTTGAGCCTTTGCACAGCAATTCTTGCACGACTGATATGGACACCTGCATATGAAATTAAATTCATCACAAGACAGAACATGCATAATATATACTTGAACGCACTAAGCCTCCATTTGCTCCCCATTAATTTTCATTCCATTACATTTTATTTTTCTCTCTTATTTTCAACCACACAATCTTTCATAAAATAATATTACACGTAAATCGAAAACTTTTCATTCTTTTTCAACCACTCATTTTTCAAAAAAACCACTATTCCACCTATTAATTTTCCCATAAAATGGGGCCAAACGGGGGCTAAATTAACAATTGGCCAACATTGGATCACGGCTATTAATAGCTGATAGGGTTAATATCACAAATAGTCACTAAATTTATCTAAAAATTACAAAACGGCCACTGAAGTTTAGAGCGCTTTCAGAAACGGTCAGTGAAGTTTACAAACTTGCAGAAACGGTCACTATTAGGACCGTTATGATTTAATTTGAACTTAAAGGACCAAAACACGTGAATATAGAATCTTGAGGACCAAACCACCAAAACTTGACAAAATAAATTTTTTCTCTATTTTTGAGCGAGTTTTGTGGCAACTTCCGACCACCAAGATCGCCCAAAATCTCCCCATAACTTCAAAAGATTTGGCCGGAATAAACTCACAAAATCAGCTCCCAAAATCTGAAAATCTGCCCAGATTTTTCAAATTTTTGGGCGAGTTTTGTGGCAATTTTCCTACAACATCCGACCACCAAGACCGTCGAATTTGGATACCGTTGGAAAACCCACAAATGTCTTCTTCAATTACTACCCAAAATCTCTCCATAACTCCAAATGATTAGGCCGGAATAAACCCACAAAATCAGCTCCCCGAAATCTGAAAATCTGTCCAGATTTTTCAGATTTTTTGGTGAGTTTTGAAACCGTCCGATTTGGATACCATTGGAAAGACCACAATATCCTCTTCAATTACCACCCAAAATCTTCTCATAACCCCAAAGGATTTGGCCGGAGTAAACCGACAAAATTAGATCCCCGAAATCTGCCAAGATTTTTGGACAAGTTTTGCGGCAACTTCCGACCACCAAAATCAACGGATTTGGGTACCGTTGGAAACTCACAACATCCTCTTCAATTACCACCCAAAATATCTCCATAACTCCAAAGGGTTCGACCGAAATAAACCCACATAGTCAGCTCCCGAAATCTGTCAGATTTCTCTCTATTTTTGGACGAGTTTTGCCACAATTTTCTAGCAACTTCCGACCACCAAAACCACCAGATTTGGATACCTTTAGAAAGCTCACAATGTCCTCTTCAATTAACACCAAAAATCTCCCCATAACTCCAAACGATTCAGCCGGAATAAACTCACAATGTCAGCCCTCCAAAATCTGAAAATCTGCCCAAATTTTTCAGATTTTTGGACGAGATTTCGGGGAGTTGACTTTGTGGGTTTATTTTAGCCGAATCTTGAATCCAAATCCTGCCGTCTTGGTGGTCGAAAGTTGTCGAAAAATTATCACAAAACTCGCCCAAATTAGAGAGAAAAAGTTTATTTTGCCAAGTTTTGGTAGTTTGGTCCTCAAAATTCTATATTCACGTGTTTTGAACCTTTAAATTTGAATTAAATCATAACGGTCTTAATAGTGACCGTTTCTGCAAGTTTATAAATTTCAGTGATTGTTTCTTAAAGCGCTCTAAATTCAATACAAGTTCTAAACTTCAGTGACCATTTTGTAATTTTTAAAGATCCAAAATGTCAACCCATTTTATGTCTTTAAAGATCCCACTATGACTATTATTGGAAATCATTGCAGCAGCCATTAATGGTTTGTCAAAGAAATAAAAGAAGTCATCATCTAGAAAAAAAATGGACTGCAGTATTTGATGTTTCGTTATTTTTATTTTCAACCAGATGTGATGATAAATAATTGTAGAAGCACCAGAAAATTGAGAAGAAACTTTTCTTGGCTGAAAGGAAAAGATAGTTTCGTGTGCAAAACAGTGGCATTCTCTTAAGTAGTTGATTGCTTAGGTTACACTAAATGCTAACGCACATGAAATATCATCATATAATCTAACTTCAATCTTAAACTATGTTTCCCAAGGAGAAGCCTAAAGAGAGAGAGAAGAAATCTCTGCAAGAAATTCCATGTGGAAGTGAATCAAGATTGAACCAAGCCTTCAACTGGGGAGTTGAATCTTCACACAAGCTGATCCAAAAGAGAACTAGGCCGAGTTCCAACAATCGTCTATTTCCATTATCCTTGCTCAGTCCACTCACAACACTTGGAAGCACTAATGATAAAACTAATCTATACAAATTTATCAAAAGATTGCAGTGCATAAAAGGAATACCAGTCACATCCTGGATTGCTATAAAAATTTATGGCAACCCATACAAAGTTCTAAGGATTCTAATAGCTTCTTGTATCAATCTGCGCCTTCTCAAATAAATTATTTTCAACCCTTAAACAGCATAAAATGCAAATGGTTCATTTTTTCCACCATCCCTCTGAGTGAGTGAGGGGCACAGCAAGGATAATGTCATTTAATAACTCAATTTTCTCAGGCATGATATCAAGACTGGAAATCGCAATAATCAGAGGTGACAAACTTGAACCAACAACTGATGTCCATAGGTCATGGCATGTCATAAAAATTCCTTTTCATGATTGCTTATATTATGTTTCAGGAAAGTTTTGCATAACCAATATCATATATCTATCTGCCTTGGATGTTTTTGTGCTTTTCTCTACATGGACAGATTTAAGCACTCAAAACTTGTTCAATAAACATGTGAGCTGAAGGTTACATTTTTTTCAACTTTCAAGGAAGATATGGGAATTGGGAGGAAGAATTGATTATCCTTATATACAAGGGGAGCAGATTCTGGGACGTTCTCCCAAACCTTTACTTTTCTATTCATCCAATACAGGACAACACCAAGAAGGAAATAACTCTTTTGTCATAAGCATTTTCTTAATAAAACATGCACAAGATTTTAACATCAAGTGTGCTAGTCATATTGCATCACATAGAACTCAGCCTCCCTCTCTTGATTTTGAATTCTACTTGATCACAGAAAGAAGCCAGCCTCCCATTAAATGAAACTACATCTGTCTTTTTCCCCTTGCTTCCTTCTAATGTGCTATACCTCCTAAGAAATCTTTTAAGGCTTGGACCACGAAAAAATGCAATTGAAGCATGTAAGATTAAAAAAAAAAACAGGGAAAAGAGAGGCCACATACGGATTTCCAAAATGAAAGGACTAATACATTTTTTAAAAGAGAAACTCAAAGTCTAAAATAAAGAAGTAAACTTCGAGTGCCCAGCAAGGAAAGTGGTATATGCCGTTGATGTAGAACCACTTAAGAAAATCTCTTATAAAGTCACCTAAGAAGGACTTCATGGTGGAACTCAAAGTGGATCAAATGGCCAATGAGCACAGAAAAAATTTAGAGATGTAACAAATATGAGTTTCATTCAATTTGCGCCAAGACTGGCCTTATAGTAAATGTCAAATGCAACCTTTTTAAGCACATACTCCACACAATATTGTGAGAAGGAAAGCTTCAAATTTGTAGAACTACAACTTGTGTGCATACCTTAACAAAATCTCTTAAAACATGTATGCATTATTTTACGTAATTACCAATGTTAAAACTGGACAGGACTAGATAGGCCGGTTTAACCGGAAAGCATACCACAATCCTGTTAGGTTACATTCTGTTAACCGCTTATTAGAAAACTGGTAAAATAAACCATAAACCGGCCGGGTAAAATAAGCCAGCCACGATTTTCCCCATTCTTACGTATGATATTTAAAAAATATATATTTATTAAGTGCACAGGATTAGCTGTTTTCACCGCCAATCGAGTTGACTTTTCTACCCATTCACCAAAGCCTTTTGATAAAATATCTTCTCTCTCATCCCAACAATCAATATCTGATGGGGGAATTAAACCTTCGCCCAAGTACAAGCAAAAGCAAATAATAAATAATTGTGTTACTTTTAGAGGTATATACACAATTTACACAATAATTATTTTTATATTGATAAATATGGATTTGTGTTTTAGTGTGAAAATTTACCATTGTTATATTTTTTTCACAGTATATATGGTTATATTTCTTTTATTTTTACCATTAGCTCGACTCTAGTTTGACTCCAATTGAACCTTTTGACTTGAACCCTTTATATTTTCAAAGTCGATGCCCCAGATTTCTAAACATTTGTAATTAACGATTATTTTCACTAAGGATGATAATGAGGTAGGTCAGTCAATCTACAGTACTAGATCCTTGCGCTCCTCATTACACTAATGCTTATCTACTTGAGTTGTCGACGCACTTAAAAATTAGTGCGCTTTTCAATATAGCAGGCTTATATTCTTTTTGAGGCACGTTCAAGCCTCCAGTGTTGTCGTCTAATATTTCTGCAAAACAATCTCATCAACCGCCTCTTCAAGCATCTGTTACGGCATTTCTACAAGATTGCATTGATAAGGTGCCTAATAATCAGATTTTAGCTTCATAAGATGGTGATTTTCGCCTATTTCTGGAGTGTTGGAAGGGTTGCATCTAGTGATGCTACTTAGATTATTGAAGATGAGTTCCATCACCTGGATGCTAAGCTTTTGTATGCCTATTTGGATTATACCTTGTCATAGTCAAATTTTTTTCAACCGAGGAGGAACGATTCAACATATAAAGTATATTCTAGGCGTGGAAGAAATTAAATCAGCAAGGGTTTTATAGTATTTCCTTATTGATTATTATTGCATTTTATTATGATTGAAAGACAATTGATTTTATTTCCTTTATAGAGTGAATCATAGTTTTCCTTATTAATCATTGTTAGGCCCTATATAAAGAGGTTCTTTGATTGTAATAAATACTTGATTCTTGAATAAAATACAATCTCTCTCATTTCTCTTCATTCTCCTTTCTTTCTCTTAATTGTTCTTTTGCCCCTCACACTCGTCATCGCTTACTTTTTCTAGTTTTGAAAATTTTAAAAGATATATATTTCAAAACTTACTTGTTCAATTATAAGTTATAATCAAACTTAATCAGCATAGTTATGCCAAACATGCTCTTACTACAAAGTTTGATCTTTTGAACGAATTATCATTTTAATCATCACAAAACTGAAACCTTATTCCAAAATTTGAGGATGTAAAAGATCTCTTCAGATATTCCAAAAATAAGGAGCTTCTTGCTTCCAGCGACTGGACATGAGTGAAATTCATACTCGTAATAACTTCTGGTTAGAAGATCTTTGCACTAGGTATATGTGGCACAGGAGTGCAATTCACTACTATTTTAGAAATAATATGAAACTGATTCCCAGTCTCAGCAAACTATAATCAAACTGGGCTAACAAATAGTCCTTCTACTTGCATCAAATTCCAAAAAGGAAGAACTAACGACGCACAACAATTACAAATAATTTAGTTACTATCTAATGATATTCAGCATGTAAATTCTGGTTTCTTTCATAAATATAGTAAATTGACATAATGTCAGTATTATCTATCACAACCACAAAATAAGATTGTTACCAGTTCTCTTAGCATTCTATGCTTGCGGTAGGTCTAAACAGTCAAAAAATTAATTAGGGTTTCACAGTTTGGAAGTATGACGTGAAGAAGCATTCTCCAACCAACCCCAATTAAAAGTAGTCAAAACATTGTAAGATAATCCAGGTACTGAACATCTTCAGAAAGCATGAAGTGCAACAAAGTTCGATATACTAACGACAACGACGAAAACCCACACAAACTCACGAAGCGATTAAAGAACATGAAGGTATAAACACAGAGCAAAATTAAAGAAGGAACCTGGAGCGAGCTACGTTGCCGCACTTGATGCACTTAGGTTTATTTAAACCGCGAAGATTCCGAGAAGCATTGATACCGGAGGATTGAGGTAACACCATCCCATCGGACGCGGCGGCGCTACTGTTACTTTTCACCGGTGAAGAGGCTGCCATTTTTTAACGCTTCAATTATTACTGATTTTAATTTTGCTTTATTTTTCTTCTTTCTGGGAATCAGTTTTTTTTTTGAATTGGGGATGAACGAGGGAACCCAAACCCCTTCTGATTTTTTTTTTAGGAGAATTGGGTCGAATAGACGTATTCGACTATTTCTACTCTTAGCCTTGACCAAAAAATTAATTAAAATAAATATTTCTACTTAAAATTCAGCCTTGTTTGGTGGAAATTAAACTCGATTTTTTTTATTTTTTCTTTTGTCAATTTTACTAAAAGTTGATGAAATATATAGTTAAAAAATTGTAAGTTGAATGAAATATATTGTTAAAATTAATTTTTAATTTTGACTTAAATTAAAATTTAAACAATTCCTGTCAAACATGTGCTAAGTAACTATATAAAACACATTTGTCTTAATAAAATCACATGCACAAATTAGTTCTTTCAATTCAAAGTCAATCATTCCTTTCAAAATCAATTGTTTTATTCCCCTTCTCCCTCTTTAGGGCATCTTGAAAAAGTATTTTATCGATTATAACTATTTTTAAGAGACTCCATTTATTAGAGTTTAAAAAACACGTGCTTGTTTATTTTTGGATACTAATTCAATTGGTTTGAAAATTACCCATAATCGATATAATGTATTTGGTCAAATTTCTCAACCCACCAAATTAGTGAATTTTGACTTTCTAAAATTCTCTTTTAATATCCTCTATAAATAATTATTTTCAATCAACATATTTCTTTCAAATCTAAATTGTAGATAAACCTACAATAACTAAAAAATTTATATACAAGTAAAAATTATTGAATAAGTAAAAAATACTTATAAGATAAAAATTCACTATTGTGTAAAATTATTTATGAAGTAAAATACTACTAATAAGGCAAAAATTTACTTATAAAATATAAAAGTTACTTATAATTCACTTGTGTGTAAAAAATAATTTAAAAGTACAAAATGAACTTATAACTGTAAAATTTACTTATAAGTAAATAATTATTTATAACTTAAAAATTTAATTATAAGTAAATATTTCACTTTTTAAGATTAACTTACACATAAAAAAAAGGATAAATAGCACAAAACGAAAATTCTGTGCAATTCCAAGACAAGCTAGCTCTCAAGCTCATCGCCTTTTCGCAATGGACAGGATCCTCGCAATGCCCTCTTGGCAACGTAAGCCATCGAACCCAGAGCTAACTGGTTCTCCTCGAAATGCATTCCTACCTTTCAATGTCATTGTGCAAAATATTCCTACATTTCATTTTTTTGGCATTTTCACCAATTAATTCTTTATCCTTTCTCTTTGTTTTATTTAAATAGGAGGGTAAAATTATCTTTTTATTGAAAAATGGATGAAAATAATCTTTTGCGCAATGAAAGGTGAAAATAGGGGTGAAAATGTTAAAAAATAAAAGGTAATAACATTTTACATAATGATATTGAAAGGTATGGATGTTTCGTGCTATTTACCCCAATTATAATGCCACTACAAAAGGTTTTTGTGGCCCCACTCTTTTAAATACTTTTTAATTTACAAAAATTAAAATTAATTAGATGACATAAATAATCACTTAATTCTTTATCTTTAAAAAAAAAAATAGCAATTCCATTTGTCTTTGATTCCTAAATAGCACAATTCTCCTAGCACCACAATTTCATCTGCCCTTTTCCCCCCTTCTTTTACACGAAGAAAATGGATTCGGGTTGTAGAAGCCACAATTCTGATTAATTTCTCCATAAACATTCTTTCTAATTGCTCCATATATTGTTGGTAGCTACATAGTTAAGGTTTTAACATACTTGTTAATAAAAATAAACTACTATTCCACCACAAACATAAACCTAATCTCATCTTATTTTTTTATTTTTATTATTTTTTCATTTCTTGCAGTTAAGAGTCATCTGTCTCCATGATACCATAGGTA